GCATCCACCTCAGTCACTGATATTTTCGTGATATTTTCAAAAGTCAATAACTCGGAAACGGTTGGTTTGAGGGACATTGTGCGTATTCTGATTTTTGTTTAGAATGGAAGAAAGAATTGAAACATGCATAATATACAGGGGGTTTCATTTCAAATAATTAAATTTTGATGTGTCACAACTTTCTGACCGACCCTGTGCTTACATTTATTACTCGCTAATAAACATTTAAACACCCTATAACTTTTATATTTAAATTTTTGTTCCCATACATATCAGCGACCCTGTATAAAGTAATGATGTTCTGTTTTATTTTATCTCGAAAGAGAATTTTTAAATAGAGATATTGGCTTTTCTATCGAAAGGGATTTATTTATTTTTAATTATTTCATGTCCTGAGAGATGCTTACAGAATTTTTTTATTCTTTTTAGTAAAAATAAAAGAAAATATTTTTAAACACAAGTTAATTAATAAAACGCAGAATATCAGAGAATTAATTTATTTTAAACTCCTACATTTTTCTTTTAAGTTTGATAAGATAGAATATGTTCTTTCTATTTTTATTTAAAACACAAGAGTTCACTTTTTACAAGTTTACTGAGTTCCATATAAAAATATTTTTTTTTCTACGACTGCTATGTACAACGTTAAAAAACGCACGCTAAAGTCAATCTGAAAGTGACGTTTTTCACACACCGTGCGCAAATTTTGTAGTGTGCAATCTTTGCGCACGCTTACTCTTAGTGCACACAACATGTGTCAATTTTAACATTTTTAACTTCCAATATTTAGCTGAAACGCCAAACGCAACGCAGCCGTCAGAAAAGTGTCATCATTACATCGCAAATTATTCCACAAAACTGACAAAAACTGAGTCAGTCTGCTGCTAATTTGTAGTCGTAGAAAAAATAGCGTAAAAAACTCGTTCGAAAACTTCTTTGTACACTCGTTCGACTTGTGGCTCTTGCCTGCGGCTCGAGCCAACAAACTGTCGAATTCGTGTGCAAAACGCCGTTTTCAAAACTCGTTGTTTAATATACTATTACAAATAGTAGTGGGAACTATCGAATGAATACTATCGAAACATTCGATAGTTGCAATTCATTCGAATAATTCGATAGCTAGTAAAAAAACATTCGTTGAAAACTATTCGAATAAAAATTATGAATAGATGCGTCATCTGCCTTGAAATACTGTATTCTAGTAATTCGGTAGCAAAAACCATTCATTTATAAAATTCATTCATTTATCAAATTCATTTATTCGTCAGGATCGATTATAATAAAATATTAACTGGATTTTAGTTGTCGCCCGGCGACGTAGGTTTCTTTCCGAGAAACCCGACAGCGGTCGGTGGCAATGCTATGAAAGAAGCCGGCATCTTTGATTTTTGCGGAGTCATATAAAGATAAGGACACATTATTTTTTTTTATTGAGGTGCTAGTATTTACACAGAAAATACATTATGAAGGGCGCTGTTGCCATATATTGGTATTAGTTGATATTAGCAAAGAATATTATTGTTTGGCTTTAGTTAGTTAGCGATAGTATGTATAGATATTTTGCATTTTTTTTATTAATATTCTGTTGTTAGGTTAGATAATAAAATATTTTGGATGTAGGAAAATGATTTTTAATGTTTTTAAGCAAAGATTGGTTTAATAAAAATAATAATAACAGTAATAATTTGTTATACCTATAACAACAAAATTTAAAATAATTTAATATAAACATTTTTTTACGTAGTAGCAAAATATAAACAACAAATTAGATGTCAAAATTATTTATATTAGATCCTATTTAAAAATAATATAGTCTTTAAATTTCTTGTGGCAACGTTGGTTTATTAAATAATAATAATTACAGAACTAATTTTTTATATTAACAACAAACTTTAAAATCATGAAATATAATCATTTATTAATTTTCTAAGCATGCAGTGTAATGGAAGGAAAATATATATATAAAATTAGAAATCAAAATTATTTATATTAGGTACTTTATATTACTATTTAAAAATAATATTTACTTTTACTGGCATTTACTTTAAAAAATAAATGAAATATTTCTTCGCAAAAAACTACATGTAAGAGAATTAGCATAAACAAAAAACAAACATTGTAACTTTTTTTTTAAATTGACACGTGTAAAACTTTCAATTTAATTTTCAACCATTTACTTAACCACATTACTTAAATATGATTATTAAGTTCAACTAATTCGTATTATTAAAACATCTAAAATACAAATATGTATTTTTAAAATTAATTCTAAGTTCATCTCATCTCTCTTAAAAATTGCTACTTCTCAAAATTTCCCATTAAAAAATAGACCATATATACCATATAAAATAAAATAATTGAAAGATCGGGCTACGGAAAATCACACAAATTTTCGGAAAAATTTTGACACCTGCACACGCACACAATCGTCAATTAAAAAAAACTACTATTTTAGTATTTTAAATATTTTAATAAACTCAAAAATAGCACAGTATTTATAAGGTGAAGTTATAAAAATTTGGAAGAACTAATAATGCACTGACGTACACAAAAATCAAACGAATACTAAATTTCATTTATCAAAAGCATTCGATAGTCGTGGCTCAACGATAACTATTTAGTCGCACGGCGAGGTTGTCACATATGCTTTAGTATACAAATGAATGAATGATTTTATTCGAATAAAACCATTCGATAGTTGAAATCATTCATTCAGTAACCATTCGATAGTCTAATTCATTCGATAGTTTCCATCGCTAATTACAAACGTTCAAACCTGTCAATACTGTCATGGAATTTTTACTTTTCACTCACTAGTTTTATTATTTACTAGAGAAACTAACTTTTTAACTGTTTAATTATAACTCTTTTCTATCGGGAAAAGCATGCGGTTTTATATCCCAAAATCCCATAAATTTTAGCTACTAATGGTTCGCGCAAAACTCTGCGAATTTTCAATGCAATTTCCTTATAAGGTAATAAGGTTCTATTTGTTATGTTTTCCTTTAAAAACATAACTAAGAGAACTTTATTACCTTCTAAGGAAATAGCATTAAAAATTCGCAGAGTTCTTTGATACCGATCACTTACTCCATCCAATTTATGCGACATCTGAAAGGTGAGATGTCGCGTAAATTAGAGTACGTGACCGGTGTCCATATCTAAAGATTATACACACATCACATGCCATTTAAACATCCATATGTGGTAAACTTAACGAATTGTCTTTTTGAAAACCTGATTCCATTATACGTATATTAGTTTTTTTATATATTTGGCTAAAAAATATATATCCAAAAAAATCCTTTATGGGTTTTTCGCCACTGCACTGCAAGAAAAATCTACAAAATAAAATAGTTATTTTTGGTAAACACTTCTGGCGTTAAACCTGAACGGACGCTGCTTGTCAGAAGTTGTGTTTACAGTTATAAAAATTTGCCTAACAAAGGAAAAATGCTTAACGTTTCGGAAAGTTTTCTCTTTCCGTCGTCGGAAGCAAAAAAATACAAAGAATAAAGATAAAAACTATTTAAAATATTTTTTTTGTTGGCTTTTTGGTTTTACCTTATTAAGTAATTGTTATCAGGTAGTAATTGTTAATATTGAAGTTTAACTTAATATAATGTCATTTTAACAGAACGTCAACGATTTCTTGTAGACGTATCTGTTTTAAAAAGTAAAGTGTTCTCGAATAGTTCAATTTAAATATTTTAAATAGTTTCTTTCTTGATTCTTTATATTTTTTTGCTTCCGACGACGGAAAGAACTTTCCGAAACGTTAAGCATTTTTTTCTTTGTTAGGCAATATTTTATAACTGTAAACACAACTTCTGACAAGCAGCGTCCGTTCAGGTTTAACGCAGAAGTGTTTACCAAAAATAACAATTTTATTTTGTAGATTTTTCTTGCAGTGCAGTGGCGAAAAACCCATAAAGGATTTTTTTGGATAGATGAATCCGCCACATAGGTATAGACATTTTTTACAAAATACATATTTTACAATTTTTGCAATCTTCCTATTAAACTACTCAAAACAATTAATTATCGCATACTTTCTAAAAAAAATATTAATTTGAAAAACAAGATACTTTGAATTCCCAGACTTATGGTTTTAAATAATATGGATACTGTGAAGGGAAATTTGATAGAATATGCCTACGCGCTGATCTGTAATTTTTAGTCGGCCGACTGTTTAGTTGCAAAAATAAAAACAGTACATACTGATGAAGTCGATCGGCCGACTATTTGATTGCATGTGAGCGCGGCTCCATAAGGAAAAATGTATTTATTTTTTCCATAAGGAAAAATTCCGCTGCAAAATAAAACTTAATCACCACAATACACCAAAACACTTTTACTTTTACACTGGACGCGCGTTCGTTAGCATCATCAGCAGATGATTAAAACTAAACTACAAATTGTAGTTGTTCTAAATTGTAGATTGTTTGCGTTTATAAACTTGCTCACAGTAGGCACCGAGTGGGCGTGGCAAGATCTGGCCAACCGAGTCAGAGCCCACCGAACGTAACAGTTAGATTTCCGCCACTGGAGTAGTAGGAACAAAGAACTTGAAGGAATTGGACCGTTGTCTCTCTTCATACTATCTTTACTTTTATTAATTCTGATGCTTTCATATGCATCTAATTGCCTGTAATTTGAGACTTGTTTAATTAATTTTAAATTATTAAGATCTATACAATGTTCTTTATCAACAATATGTTCAGCAACGCAATATTTATCCGGTCTACCAAAGGGTCTACCATATCTTATCTGAGCTAAATGTTCTTTAAATCTAGTTAATATTGATCTTCAAGTTTGTTCAACATATTTCTGATTACAATCTTTACAAGAAATTTCAAAAAAAGCTAAGCTAACCTACCATTGTTCAAATATTTTGTAAGAAAGACTGAAATGAATATCTCAATAGGAAACGTGATAATTAGTTTCTTTTTTGTGAACCTTAGCTAACTTTGCATTTTAATATAGTATAGTCTATTTACCTGAGATATTCCATATAAACCTGGGGCGGAAAGCAATTCTGATTCGCAGCCAGGTGCTACCAGTTCCACATTCCTTTCTTCTTCTGAACATTCTTCTCTTGGTATATCAAGTTCTCTGAGAAGTGGACCGTCGCCACATTTAGGTCCTACCGATCCTGTTTCACGAAGCCATGCTTGTAGCCATAATGTATTACAAGCACATGCTAACGGGTTACCTACAAGATTTTTTTTATTTTTGAATTTATGTTAATTTAATTACTATAATATTAACTACCAATTTGGGAATACCGGGTGCGTCTCAAAAGTGGCTCACTCCTATAACTTTTTTATTTTTTCAGATAAAAAACCGAGATTTAGTATGTTAGTATATGACATAAATTAGGATTGATTTACGTATTCAATTGTTTTTGGTCACTTCCTGTTTAACCGGAAATGACTACAACTTTTGATTTTTAAATGACACCCTCGGTATTTTTTTTTGCTTTATTCGATAGAAAATGACACTCTGAATAGAATGACATATCATATGTCAACTTTTGACATTTTTGCATATGGTTTGTTTGAAATTGTACCATGCGGTTCCTAACGACAATTTGACTCGAAATACCGAGTGTGTGGTACCAAATTGTTCGTAAAAAATGCCTTTTTCAAATATGCTAATGAGCGATCCTTGTTTTTTGCGTATCAAAAAATTATTATTTATTGCGTATTGAAAAAATTGATATATGATTAAAAATGCGATTTGGGCATCTTTTAACTGCCCAGGATAAGACACGAAAAACATTAAACAATCAAAACTATTTTTCCAAGGCTCTTTGATGAAAATTTACTGTTTTTAACACAGCCACTCTAGATTGAAATTTAAAATACTGTTGCGGACCGGTGTGAACTCGACCTAACCTAACAATATGGCCCGCCCTCGGATGACCTTAACATCGCATAGACACCGTAATGATTCATTCGAAGATTCGAGAAGTATCGAGTTCTACTGGAATAGAGTAGTACATACGAGAACAATCGAAACCTTCTCTATGCACCTAACGATCTATGGACTATTCTAGAGTTCTTTACCTGTCGGTATAAAAGCCGGCGGCTGTGGCCTACAGAGGGCAGTTATAAATAGACTAGTGCAGTTGACGCGCTAAAATTCAAAATAAATTCTTAGTTATAAATCGTTTGTAAATAGTTCTATAAGTATTTTATCGTTATTGTTTTTTTTTAATTAGTGTTAAATAAATGGTGTTTAATTAAATTGTGACTTTCTATCCACACGGAACCGACGAAAAACGTAACAATACGATTTATTTTTAAGCGAAAATTTCAAAAGATAGATATGTCATTCTATTCAGAATGTCATTTTCTATCGAATAAAGTAGAAATATACCGAGGGTGCCATTTAAAAATCAAAAGTTGTGGTCATTTCCCGTGAAACAGGAAGTGACCAAAAACAATTGAATACGTCAATCAATTCTAATTTATGTCATATACTAACCTACCAAATCTCGTTTTTTTTATCTGAAAAAATTAAAAAAGTTATAGGGGTGAGCCACTTGTGAGTCACACCTCTATAACATTTTTATTTTTTCGCGCAAAAAAAACGAGCTTTGGTATGTTATTGTAAGAAATAAATCCGGAACGATTGACATATTCAAATATTTTCGGTCCTTCCTGTTTCACCTGAAATGACTACAACTTTGAATTTTTAAATTGTACCGTTGGTATTTTTTACTTTATTTTTATAAAATGATACTTTGAATAGAATGATATAATCATATGTCAGATTTTGAAATGTCTTTAAAACGACAATTTGACCCGAAATACCAAGAATGTGGTATCAAATTAATCGTAAAAATATGCTTTTTTCAAATATTCTAATGAGGCCACCCTGATGTTATTTTACTATTTTTATAAAATGATACTTTGAATAGAATGATATAATCATATGTCAGATTTTGAAATGTCTTTAAAAACGACAATTTGACCCGAAATACCAAGAATGTGGTATCAAATTAATCCGTAAAAATATGCTTTTTCAAATATTCTAATGAGCCACCCTCTTTCAATTTGAAACAAAATTGAGTTATGATTAAATATACGATTTAGGCACCTTTTAACAGGCAAGGAATAGTCAAGAAAAACATATTTTTCAAAGGTTATCTTTGATTATAAATTACTGGTTTTACACAGTCATGGCACTCTAGATTGAAATTTAAAATACTATTTTTCTAAGTGCAACTGTCAAAAGTTGACATGATATGACATTCTACTCAGAATTTTCTATCAAATAAAGTAAAAAAATACTTGGGAAATCTTTTAAAAATCAAAAGTTTAGTCGTTTCCGGTGTAAAAAGAAACGACAGGAACATATTGTGTCAAAATGTCAACATACAAAATGTCGTTTTTTATATGAAAAAATAAAAAAGTTAAGAGGTGAGCCATTTTTGAAAAACACCCGGTATTGATGAATACGAAATTCGAATGGCTGACAATAGAACTGTGAAGAAACGTATAACGTTTAATAGTACAATTACCGTCTATATCCAATACAGCAATGTTACCACGTATTCTTTCAATCACACGTTCAGGAAAAGACATTAGCTGATTATTTTTTAAACTTAGGACTCTTAATCTTGGCATATTATTAAATGGAGAACCGTTGACGCCGCATATTTTGTTATTATCCAATCTAAGTTCCACCTATAAAAAGAAGATATATACATTAATGCATATCATAATATCGTAATATATACAGGGTGTTTCAAAAAAAATGCGAAAAACTTTAGGGGGTGATTCCTTGTTCAAAATAAAGGATAGTTTGCTTTATAAACGTTGGGTCAAAAGTCAACCATTAGGGAGATATCGCGGTACAAAGATGGCGGAAAAATAATGTTTTTATTTTTTATCTTGAAAACGAAAAGAGATAGACTAATGAAATTTTATGGAAGCATTACTGTTATGAAAACACACTTTCAGGTAATTTTTTTACTTTTTTAAAATGAGTGGAAGGGGTTGAAATAAACTACCCCTATCATTCTTGTTACCGAAATTTAAAGAAAAATCTTATCAAACACATGCAAATGCTTTAATTTGGATAGTTTAGTTGGTTTAGAAACTTTTTTACCTCTTGTGTTTTTTCGATAAAACTCACCGATTGGAAATTAAAAAATAAAATGTAAAGCATTACATGTCAGGACAAAAAACATTTTCTGATAAAGAATCTAGTGATAATAACGATAAGAATAATCATCTAGATAATAACGTATTGCAGTAGAGTAATGTCAAATAAAATAATATTAGGAACATCCTAAAAAGTAACAGCGGCCGATTAGATTTTTTCCTAAAAAAATTACAGCAGCCCACTAGATTCTTTATCAGAAAATGTTTTTTGTCCTGACATGTAATGCTTCACATTTTTTTTTAATTTCAAATCGGTGAGTTTTTTCAAAAAAATACAAGAGATAAAAAAGTTTCTAAACAAACTAAACTATCCAAATTAATTTTTTTGCATGTGTTTGATAAGATTTTTCTTTAAATTTCGTTAACAAGAATGATAAGTAGTTTATTTCAACCCCTTCCACTCATTTTAAAAAAGTGAAAAAATTACCAGAAAGTGTGTTTTCATAACAGTAATGCTTCCATAAAATTTTATTAGTCTATCTCTTTTCGTTTTCAAGATAAAAAATAAAAACATTATTTTTCCGCCATCTTTGTACCGCAATATCTCCCTAATGGTTGACTTTTGACCCAACGTTTATGACGCAAACTACCCTTTATTTTGAACAAGGAATCACCCCCTGAAGTTTTTCTCATTTGTTTTGAAACACCCTGTATAACGTTAAACGGATTATGTTGAAATAATAATGTTGAGACTATTCACCATATCTTGAATAATATTTTTAAGGTTTTATGCAAAGTATGCAAAAAAGTGGTTAATGGAATGTGCTAATAATATATGACACAATGCGCTAAATTTGTATAACGTTATTGTCGTACTTGGGATGGGAAATGGGAAGATCATCCTAAGATCAGGACTATCCAAATTCAGATACAAGACTATTCAAACTTTAAACCAGAATAAATAACAGCATTTTATTCCACAACATTTGTTACTATCAATAGAAATATTTTTTAGAACGATTCAAGTTTTATTTACTTCTAAATAGCCCACAAATTTCCCACAATACCGGGAGCGTCTCAAAAGTGGCTCACCTCTATAACTGTTTTATTTTTTTCATATAAAAAATAAAGATTTAGTATGTTAGTATACGACATAAATTAGGATTGATTGGTTTGGTTGCGTATTCAATTGTTTTCGGTCACTTCCCGTTTCACCGAAAATGACTACAACTTTTGGTTTTTAAATGGCACTCTCGGTATTTTGATACTTTATTCGATAAAAAATTAACACTCTGAATAGAATGACATATCATATGTCAACTTTTGATATTTTCGGATATGGTTAATTTGAAATTGCAACATGCGATTCATAACGAAAATTTAACTCGAAATACCGAGTGTGTGGTACCAAATTATTCGTAAAAAAATGCTTTTCCCAAACATGCTAATGAGCCACCCTCGTCCTATTTGAAAAAATTGGCGCCGGGAGGCACGTATAGCCGCCCATACTAAAATATGTTAATAAAAAGTTGGTAGGCAGTTCTTTTAGTTTCAAAGTAAAGGAATTTTTCCAATTTTTTTTACCTCAAAAACTGCGACTTTGACTGATCTTGATGTTATTACAAATTTTGTTTCAAATATTATTCCTAATCTTAAATTGAAAACCGCGTTTCGCTAGCTACTGTAATTTTGGAGTTACGATTATTTTAAATTTTTAACCCCCTCTCATACCCCCTTACCAACCCCCCCACCCTCACCAAAAACTAATGGCCAGATTCTCGGGTGCCACAGTATTTTTGTGCCACATTTGGTTAAAATCGGTTTAGCGGTTTTTGAGTTATCGTGTTACAGACAGACACCATGAAAATATTTTGTATTTAGGTCATTTATGACCCAAATAACTCATTTTGAGTGAAATTAAAAAAACTTTTTTTGCCGATCTTAATAGCCTACCATACCTATTGGTATGGTAGGCTAAAAATTGAAATATGATTAAAAATACGATTTGGGCATTTTTTATCCGGCCTGGACAATACACTAAAAGCATTAGACGATCAAATCTATTTTTCCAAGGCTTCTTGATTAAAAATTAGTGTTTTTAACACAGTCATGGCACTTTAGATTGAAATTTAAAGCACAATTTTGTTTCAAGCGAAAATGTCAAAAGTTGACATATGATATGTCATTCTATTCAGGGTGTCATTTTCTGTCGAATCAAGTAAAAATATACAGAGGGTGCCATTTAAAAACCAAAAGTTGTAGTCATTTCTAGCGAAACAGGAAGTGATCGAAAAGAATTGAATACAACAATCAATTTTAATTTATGTCATATACTAACATAACAAATCTCGTTTTTATATCTGAAAAAATAAAAAAAGTTATAGGATTGAGCCACTTTTGAGACGTACCCGGTATATCCCTAATATATTAATGTGTGCCATATAGTAATAGTGGACTGATGCCAATAACTGCCAGCGACTGCCAAGAGAATTTACATGTAATTCCAACCAATTCCAGCAGTGAGACACTCCTCGGATGAGACATAATTTATATATTTATGAGACACACTTCTTTCTCTTAGTCGTTCTAATTATACGTAAGTGTAATTTTTTGTTTTTTATTCAATTTTTGTCTGTTGTAATCGATTATAAATCGTATAATATTTGTTATAACTAGTTAGTACTGTTAAACCGAGAATATTTCTACATAATTAATATATTTATGATATCCACTTCATTGCTTAACTTTTTAAATATCTGTTCTTCAAAATGTTTATATTTCCGTAATTGCATTCATAATATTCTCTTAGTTCTATTAAGCCGCGTATAAATATGCCGAGGCAAGTACGAGACAAACCCGAAACGAGTATGAAACGAGGCTATAGCAAATTCTTTCCAAAAGGCGTACTAATATGCCGAGACGAGGACGAGACGAGTCAAGCCTCAAGCGGAATTTCGTCATATTATAGCCTCGAGCCGAGCGATTTAGCCTCGAGTAGAGTCCCTGCCCAGTCGAACGGCGTTGTCTCGCGGCTATCCATTTTCAGTGGAGCCTTTGGCGAACCCACAAAATTCTTCATAGGGCTATGCGATACTGAGGCAGTATCGATATTTTGGTATCGGTTGTATTGAATATAAACTATCGATACTTTAAAATATTGATAAATATATTAAAGTATTATTCGATACCATTCAATATTTAAAAAAATTAATTAATAAATTTAAGTATACTGTGTTTTTTAATTGGATTAGGATCGAAAAAAATCAACAGAAGTCCTTTGTTTTAAATTTGTCGACGTTTTTGTCGACGTTAAATTCTTATTCGCATTTAACGAAAAAAGTCGACGATGGTGGCACTGTTTTATACAAAAAAATTCCAGGATCAGAACTAAATCAGTCATCAAACGATCTCAAATTACTAAAAGCACTTGGAAGAAAATGATAAAACACTTAAACTAGGGTTGGCAACTTTGAAAATAAAAAATAGGGGCAAGAGGATAAAAAGGGGCACAGGCGAAACATTTTTGAAACTTCGCTCAAATGTCGAGAGTTTACCAAAAAGTTATATAAACGGTATGCGATAAATATATAAAACAAACAAAAATATTTATACTCAAAACTTATTAAAATAAAGCAAACCATTGTCAACAAAACTTTTTTTCAAGACATAAACTAACAGTAAGTAAACATAAAATTACATAAAAGACACAGATTAACAATTCTTTAAAGCATTGTGGCGATAAACGAATATTTTTTAGATTTTGAAGTTGGTATGCAACAAAGTTTTCAATACGTGAGAAAAGAGGACAATCAGATCAAAAAGAGGACTGTTTCTGGAATAGAGGACGGTTAAGAACCTTATTTTAACACCCTGTAGCTACGAATCAAAAGCAAGAATTGATTGGTTGATATAAAAAATAAATCTTATTTTTTACGTGAGGAACTTCCCCACGAGAGATGGAACATGTTTTTTGAAACACCCTGTATATGTTTGTTTAATTTCAAAATAGGTAAAAAAAAAAAGCTAGATGGAATTCATGATAAATTTAAATTATATTCGGACTGTTTACATTAAAAAAAAACTGGAGAACGCCGACTGAGATACCTGGAGATAACGGCACGGCAGCGGCGGCGGCGGAGCCTTTTGCCAGTGCCGTTTTTTTTGAGTCTTTGATTATTTTATTCAATAATATATTTTGTATGTGGTTTGTATATCTATAAAATGTTTAAATAGAGTAACAGCGCTTTCAGATGGAGCGGACCGTACGCGCAGAGCGTCCGCACAGATGTTTTTTCAAGATAGCTCATCCGGACGGAGCATACGCGACCCAGGTGAAATTGTTCATATAAGCTCATGGTACTTGCTCGAAGTCGCGGACGGTCCGTCGCGGACGCTCCGTTCCATTTGAAAGCGCTGTAAGATAAGACCTAATACGACTTTATTTATTTAAAAAATTTGAAATTTAAGTAATTAAGATTTAAATGCCAATAACTAACCTGGAACATATATTGTAAATAATATATCTGCATTTCTTCATTTCTAAAGTTGTATATTTTTTGAAGGTATTTAATTCGCCACAT